TATATATATGATACAACAACAAATATTCTCCCAAAAGAAAGCAAATTTTTTGAAAATCTGTTATATTATACAAAGTGAAGAAAAAAGAAAAGAGAAGAATCTAATTACATTTACGACTACAAATCAATTAATCTTTTTAAAAGTTTTAATGTTTTCCGTTGACTGCGGGTGGAAGAGAATTTAGATGTTATATTTGTTAAGTCTTAAGATTAATTGAAGTGGTAGGGCTGTTGAGCGCATTCATCTAATATTCTAAATTAACTTTAACTTAGTACATAATTAGAACATCGAAAGTAAATGAAGAATAAGCAGAAAGTAAATTAAGATGCAAACAGTATATTCAAGTGAGACAAACCAAACTAAGATATATATATACATAAATATATTGATAATGTTAATGTATTAATTTTCAAAGTTACACCATTTTTTGAGATTGAGATACAACAAGGACAAACATACAATTATATATATTTGATGAGACTTTTCGTCCTTTTCGGATGCGCGGAAGATACAAAAACACCATTTTCTTGCATTTTCATTTTCTTTCTTTTTTTTTCTGTACTAAAACGCTTCATTCGTTTTCCACAAATTGCCTAGGGTAAATATTTTCATTATTGTCTACATTGAGATACCATTTTCGTAGAAACTCTTAATTTGCATTATATTATTATTCTCTTAATATTTTTTAAATAGTTTGTGCAGTTTTTTATTTTGCATTATTTTGTAAACTTATTTTTATATACTTATTTACTCCGTTTTTTTTTCTGTTTTTAATCCATATCAGTATTGTTTAGCTTTTAGGTAATCTTGTGTTCGATTTTTGTTTGTTTATTATTTGTATACTTATGATTCTACTTTTATTTTTTTTTTATACACTACACAATTTTTGCTGTGCATTATTTTGTGGTTTCATTATAAGTGTAACATGGAAGATTGCAAGAAAACATTGAAGAATACATAAACTGAATATTTTTATATGCATATATATATACTTTTTAATTTTTCTATAAATGTTTGTTATGTGTTCCTAATTTGAAACAGTTTTAATGTTCATTTAGATATTAACGTGCTTCGAAAGAAATCCAAAAGCGAAACTAATAATAATAATAACACTAAGATCTAAAGAAAAAAAAATAAAATTAATATATACACAAGAGAAAACACCATAGTTCACATATCCTTAATATAATTAAATAATATATAAATATATATTTATTACTGTACAAATTGTTAATAAGAAAATAAGTGAAAAGAAAGAAGCCAAAACATTTAATATATGATATTTATTATATATTGAAACGAGGACAAATAGAAAGATGAATGAATCCGAAAAGCAACACAGCTGGAACTTTCTTTGATGTTTTTCCGTTCATTTTTATCCATGTACACGTATATCATTTAGTAAAATTTTATCTATTCGGTTTTTAAAAGAAAAAAAATATATATGTATACCTGTTACCTAACAAAAGAAAAGTAAACTCAGAGAATTTATAACAGTGATGATATCGTGAGAAAGATTTATCGAATGAAAGAATGAGAGTGACAGATTTTAAGGAAAACACCAAGTAAAAAAATTAATAAACTAATAATAGCAGAACAAAATACCTACAACAATCTTTTTAAAACTTATAACTAAAGGAACCTGTTCTTATTAGGAAAATAAAAGATATTCTATTTTCAGTAATTTTAAAAAAACAAATGAAAAAAAAAATACAAATACTATTATATAATTGAAAGTAAATTTAATATTAATATTATATAAGATTTAAGAATTATTAATAATGAACGATGATAAATGAAATAGATTACGCTTATTACATTTGATGGCTTTTTATATATTCATATATATTCTATATGTTAAACTCTAATTGTGATAGTTTTAATTTTAATGTGTATTTGAGGAAAAGAAAAAAAATTGTGGGAAAGCATCCAAAAAAAATATATGATGTGTAATGTTTTGAATAAATATTTGTAATTCTAATGGAAATGGCAAAAATTAGCATAACGAAAAGTTGAGAATACCAGTATTGAAATACGCTTCTGAATCTTTATTATCTCGTGTCTTAATAGGATTAATAAAGAATATGATGATTGAGAGCGGCGTCTACTTTATCAATAATTCATAGCACATCATATTTCACCATCACGTGCACTTCAATACAATATGCAATTATTTTTATTACTTTTTCAATAGTTTTTATTTGCATTTCTATATTTTCTATTTATTATTTTAATAAACAATTGTTCAAACAATATTTTTGTGTTTTATTTATTGACCTTTCATTTAATTACAAATAAAAAATAAAGTTTAAATAATTGAGTAACTTATATATTCATGATAATAATTATGTAATTAAAGTATAATACATATGTCGTACATAAATTGAATTGGCACGACAATATGTTATTTATTCTCATTATTATATTAAAAGTTCAAACAAAAGACTTCTAAACTTTAGACATAATTTAACTCTAAATATAAGGGTTACCTTTGTTTCAATTGTCTTAAAATTAAGATATTAGAGGTTTTTTTTTCGCTTATTAAATTTTTCTACCTATATTTAATATTTTTCATATTTTTGCACTTCATATTTATTTATTTTGAAAATTTCCGTTTTCAGTTTTTTTTTATAAGTCAACTGTTTTATTACTTTATTTTATAATCAGATGAGGGTAAGTGTTGTCCAACTCGTTATATAATATACTTTGGTTAATTTTGTTTGATATATAATATACTAAACTTTCTGTTTGAAATTGGTCCCAATCAATATAATACACATTCATAAAATTGACCATAGTAAATGAAAAGCAGGTTACATTTTTATTTTTTTTATTGAACTTAATACATTTATATAATATTTTCTTTATATTTGGTTTCTTTGTTTGCAAAGTATTAGTCTTATGTAATTGACTTATTTTTCAAATAGACTATTCATATACAGTTGTAACATTTTTTGATTAATTAATTGATCTTTATATAATAGTGATTATATATTAATTTTAGTAGATATCATATTGGTATATAATTTTCCTAATTAATTGAGACACAAGTTGAAGATACGTTAATCGTTGAATGTGCGCTTCTTCCCGTAGCAAAGATATCCTTCTACCCAGAGTCGTCAATCAAGGCGAAGAAGACCTGCATCATAAATAACATACCGTTCACATCTCTGTGCTCGCTAAAACAACATTAACTACGGGTAACAATTATAGGTATTTTCAAGTTGCATGCAGACAACAGCAAATTCCTAACTTCATAAAACCAACAATTACGAAGAACTTTCCTTGATTTTAATCATAATGGGAAGATGCTGACAGGTTTATAGGTTTAGACTTCGATGATATTTGGGTGTTGGGATAACTCGGCGGTACGGTCTCCTTCCTCGACTATACCGACAATCCAACAGTTAGCTTCTTCGTTCATCCTTACAAGATCCTCTCGGAAATTCTCGATGCAATCCTTATTGATGGATATGAGCAAACCACCTAATAAACAAATAATTAGAATACGTTTTGTTAGATTTGTTAAATTAACCTGATGTTTCTGGTGAAGATCCTCGGAGTAACTTCTGGGACATGCCCATCGCTTCTGCCATTTTCAAGACATTCTTAATAACCGGCATGGTATGAAGAATGAATTTTACATTATTCTTCTGATACTTGGCTAAATTTTGCGCATGACCCAAAATACCGTATCCAGTCACATCGGTAGCAGCGTGACAGTTATACTTGTGCATTAGTTCGGCCGCTAAAAAATATATATGTTTAATATGATGGAAAGTTACATTTTTTTTTAGCAATACCGTCTTTATTTAGAGTCATCATGAAATCTAGTGCACTGGTATGGGCGGCATGAAGTTCGCTTTGGGTGAAGTGTTTTTTAAGATTTTCCCATTTATCCGCCTCACGTGCTCTGATCTGTGCTAGACAAGCGATTTGGCCTCCCAGTGGTTTCGTTAAGATCAGATAATCACCAACTTGTGCGTTTATGGGGCTGTAATATTTTAACTTTAATTATGAATACAATTAATATTTGGTATCTACCTAATGAATTCTTTTTCTGTAACAATCGCTGTTGCTGTGCCACCTATCATGCACCATGGATTTATAACAATCTGATTTAACGAGATGTTCTTTATATCAGCTGACATAGCGACGCTCTGTAAATATAATAACATTTCATTATAAGCTTTTTTATAAGCTAGTGGTACGTTTCTAGTACCTTCATTCCAGCTATAATCGTTGGGATAACAGCTTGTTGCTCTCCCGGTGTCATTTGCTCGCAAGCTGACATAATAATATTTAGACTGTCAATTTGGGTGACGCCAATAGCGAAGAGGTCACTCAGAACGTTTGCGCAGGTTACCCTACCTGCAAATAAAAAAAATTCAATTGACCCAATGACCTTCAAACGATATTGCGACGTAATTTACCCATCAGGAAGGCATCGTCGATGAGCGGATAGAAGAAGTCGGTGCTTTGGATCATGAATAGATTATCGCGAAGGGGTATCACGCATGAGTCTAAACCTATACCTAGTGAAGACGGAGACTTTGTTAATGCATGCATTCAACAGATGTGAGCTGCGAGCTGGGCGTTGTTTCCAGAGTCTTACCTATCTTATTGTCTGCATTGGCACCTTCGTCCTCCCCCAGAAGTTTTGTTAAAACTTCCTGGGGGACCTTACATCCTCATCCCCGTAGATCCGCAAATTTGGTTAGTTCCGTGACGTTACTCATCACAGCGCTAGCGCTAGATATCGACGCGCCACGATCCATCATGTTTCCGTACAAAATGAAGCTCTCATTCATTTTGAACACGACTGAATGATATTGAGTAATCTCGCTGTATTTATAGGCACGGATTTTAGTGGGGGGAACGTAGAGCAAGCGCGGGAACTTTAAGGTTTATATATCATACATGCATGTATTTTCATCTCAAAGCAAGCTAATCACATTATCTTTAAATAAATACAACATCGCTGAGCGATTAAGAAGTAATTTACACTAATTAATCTCTCTAAAATTGCTTTGTCATTAGCATCAAAATTTAGGTCAAATGAAATTCCTACTTATACTTAAGATATAATTAATTCATCTTAAAAGGAGATAATTTTGATATAGATAATTGAGGTCAAATGTCTTACTTACATCTAGATCTAGAAGTATCGGCAACGTGGTACCTACCAAAGCAATTTTAAAGTGCTCGCGGGCAGTATTTTAAAGCCCATTTTTATGTTTAATTAATATGTTTAATTTGATAATTGTTTAAAATTACAACATTATACAAAAATTAGAAAGTGTCTAAAATTTGAATCATTGCGATTTTTATGTGTTAGATGAAAACTATAGTTGATATTTCGAAGCAATGTTACGCAACAAAAATGTCGTTATCGCAAGCTATAGAAATGTGTTAAGGATAAGATAAAAGTTTTTTATTTGTTGGTGTTCGTAAATGAAAGAGTCGTATATATATGATAAGTTTTATTAATTTCAAAGATGAACGAAAACATAATAAGAAACATGTAATGTTCAGAGATAAATACAAATACAAAAAAATAATTAAGTAACTTAGTAGTTCAGTCTTCTAACCATTTTTTAGGTGTGAAATCAAGTGGTGTTATACTGCAGTATACCTTTCTTTGTAATCTTCTTGAATCAACAAAAAACAAAACAAAAATTCAAAGTCCATACCAGGTGATGATACCAGAAGTATGATTCGTAATATTTGTACAAGCGAACTAAACAATTACACTACAAATAAATAATCTTACTAGTTACAATAGATTCCAAATTTGTTTAACAGTAGCTAACATTATTATTTTTCTCTCGTTTTATTAATTAATTAGTTTAATATATTTAAATTCTCTAATACATAGCTTAAAAGTAACACAATTATGATTTTATTTTTAATAATTCTTATCATTGTTTCAATTTAATATGTTGTTGTTGTTTCCTTTGTGTACGTGTGTAAGTGTTAGTTTATACAAGTATAAGTAACACGATTAGAATGGGCCCCTCGACATTGTGTTTAATTATGAACGTTTTAGAATTGGCGGCAGTAGAGTGAGGTGGCTCCAAAAAAATGTTGTGTGTCTTGGCCCCAAAAACCGACTACCATATGATGATACTAGAGTACTTGGTGTATAATTAGTACCTGAGGGTCGTTTCTTATTAATCTTTTCTATTATTCGTGTTTTCTTCGCAACAGCTGAAAGGGCCTACATCAATTCATCATAGCGTTCCCACTAAAGTAAAGGAGGATTACCTCTGTTCTGTTATATAAACGTCATCTCTTCGTTTCAATCCAAACGTCTCCTTCAGATATTTATTTATTTATTTATTAAGAGGAGCTATCGTTCAACCATTGATGCACCAGTCCATTATCAGCGGTAATCCGCAGCTCCGGATCCGGTTCGATCATGGCGTTGATCATAGCTGCAAATGGGATTGCGTCTACCCTCTTCCATCCATATTTCTCTACTAGTACATCCTCGGTTTTCCAAATGTGCAGCAACGGCATTTCGCAGATAATCAGGTTTCCTTGTGGATGAAGAAACATTTAGTCGTGAAGCATCCGGTAAGTATCAACTTACCAGTGCTATCGAAGTATCTATGCGAGCGCCTTCCACGGGAGGCAATATAAGGAGGAATACCTCCTAATAATTCATATATCAAAAGAATGTGGTCTTCGTTAGAACTAAATGTCTGTGTGTGCCTTGGATTGAACAGGTATTCTCCAGTAGCTAATTCGAATGCTATACATCCTACTGACCAGATGTCTGCTGGTGTATTGAAGTCGGCTCCTAGCAGAACCTCGAGTGCCCTATACTGCTTCGTTTGAATTGTGCCTTCGATTTTATCAGTCTTAAATAGAAGTACAATATTTAAAGCAGCTATGTAAAGTTTCAGAAATCAATTTACCGTCCAGCATGCATTGCCCATATCGGCTATTTTGACTTCGATTTTTGGACTAACGTACAGTTCGCTTCTGGTGCAGATTTTCGTAGTTTCTCCATCGTTCGTAAGATCCGATAAACACGGGAATGAGGAACTTCGTTGAACACGTTCGGGCTCGTCAGGGCTCATCACAGGATTACTATATGCAAACTTGATTAAAGTTTCGAATGATTGAGTAGCATAATTTTCAGAAGAAACTGCAATAAAACCATATATCTAACAGTGTATTCTTAAGTACTTTATGATACTCACTATAACTTCTGGGCATAGGTAAACCGAGTTCGGAATATCTCGTAGTCTTATCAACCATGTTTTTTATATAAGCGTCGTTTACTTTGATAAGTATATTTTCTGGCTTCAGATCAGTGTGGATTATTTTGCATTTATTATGAAGGTAAGATAGTCCTAGAAGTACCTGAAAAATGTATTTAGATTTTGGCCTTTGTTATTATTGTTAAGTTAATAAACATACTTGTCGTATGATACATTTAACAGCTCCTTCATAAATGCCTTGATAATGGCTTTGAGTAATTAAATGAAGCAGAGATGGGCCCATTAATTCGAATCCGATGCATACGTGATTACCATTTATACTGCTGACATCAAAATGTTCCACCATTTCAATGATGTGTTTCCTGCCTGGATGATCGGAGCCAATTCTTCGGAGTTCTGTAAGCAGCGAGATCTCCTCCTTGGCCATATTATCACACAAATGAACAGCCTTTAAAACTTTTATAGCGACATATTTTTGGCTGAAATAAAAACATTAAGTTGTTGCTTGTATGTATGTGATAGTGACTTACTCCTCTCTATTATCTGAACATAGCCAAACGGTCGAGAAGTGTCCAAACCCAAGTTTACGAAGGACGGTATAGGTACCCAATTGTTCACCAATCAAAATGGGCTTATAGCCGCCCTTCTTATACTCATTAAGATTTTCTTGGGAACAATTTTGATCCGAGGGCCTTTGTTTTAAATCATCCTCAGTGTATTCGCATGCAGGCTTCCCTCTGTCGCAGCTGGAACGCAACAGAAATATATTAAATCACCATTTTAAAATAGTGTACAACGATTTACGAAAACTTTGCTGGACATGAGGTTGATTTTGCTTTCATTGCTTTGATCTGTACATGCTGCGATTCATGCTCGGTATGTGCGGGTTCTGTTAGAGGGGATTTTGTGGCGTAAGAATGGTGTATATGTTTCGCGCCCTCCATTACAAACGATACACAGAAATGCAGTGAGAAAGTAAGGAAAAACACAACATAGTAATTCGTCCGAGGCACTTCTAGAAGCGAGCCTTCGTCTAAGGTGGTGTTGAATGCTGGGCAAAACAATAAATCATCGTTTTCCTCCATTTTTCATACGTTTTGTTTACGTATTACCCGATCACTGCGTACTGGATTGAATTTGAATGATTCCCGCCGATTCCTTCCTCTTTCGAAAAGGAGAGTTTTGGCACGGTTTCAATTTACGAACTTTTCGATAGCCGCACGCACGTCACCTAGCATTATGTAATTAAATGTGTTCTAATCAAAGGAGTCCAGCGACGAATGATCTGATCATCATTCAAGACCTATCTAACCAGATTTAGAGGGACCTGGGTTTCCTAGCTGGAGCATCTTTGGATTGTTGCTGGATGCTGACGCGGATGCATTCTCAGCGAATTGACTTTCAAAGCAACGCGGAATCGAAACTTTTAGGGCTCTCGACTTATTTCGGGGCCGGCACGCAGAACTCAAGTGCACAGACACAAACAAATCTGAATTATTGTGTTTAAAAATGGACACGCGGATATTTTGGACCTTGGCCGACTGGCGCGAGCTTATAATTCGGATCTAGATGGTGCTATTTATTGCCGTAGGTTATTTAGGGCCCCTAAAATGTTACAGTTAGATGGAGATGGATTCACGGTAAGGATGTAAAAGTAGTATTTTAAAATTAGCGACATTTCCGGTTAAACAGGATAGTGTTTTTGTTGGGATCTAGGCAAACATATACGCTATGCAGTGTGTCTATTGCCTACATTCGTTACTTACTAGGAGCGCGTTTTGTGCGACGATGGGTCGTTCCTGCGGTGTATCGGTGATAGCGACAAAGACGTGTAGTCGATGGATATGTCATCGATGGAACTGGTGGCGTTGAGCTCTTGTAAGGACAAGAGGTTCGATCCGCCATTATTTTTGCTGCGATAAAAAAAATCGTCTCGTTGCGACCTGTTTTCGTAGAGCTCCTCATACCGGATGCGGTATGCCCTCGGAAGGATGTTGGTCTCGGCGTCGGCGGCCCTCTGAAACCTGTAATTTTTCTCCGCTGCAAGGACTGAAGGCTGCTGCTCGCCGATGACCGCTGCCCTAGCTCTGGATGGGTTCTCCGTGGCAACTGTTTCGGGGGCTTCCTGATCGCGGCTGTTAGATCTCGAGACAGCTCCACGGTTCGAGGGCTGCAGATTGGGGACTTCCGGAGCCAGGTTGGGGCCTGTTCTTCACACCTTCCCAACGAAATCCCGAACGACTCTTCAGACGCGTACGATTTTTGGTGCCTGTCTTTCAGGACCTTCAATGAATCAGTCATAATGAAACTTGCGAATGTGTTGGTGATATGTATTGGATCGCGACATAGGAAAATGTAAGGGCTCTGGCGAGGACCACGAAGGACTGCAATCGCCGAGGAGCGAGCGCATGTGCGACCTGGAAAAACGCTCAATACCCGACGCCACGCCAGGCTATTTAATTGATTATCCAAATCCATCTATATCCTTATACGCATTGTCGACTAAAACCAAACCAACGAAGCAAATGCACTCGAATTATACAAATCGAGTAAAACCATTAATTTATTCGAAGAATTCTGAATGTTATTCGAAGAATGTAAAAATATTGCGCTGTTCGATTTCAAATGTCGTTTGTATTCTGTCCCACTGTCGCCGCACGCAAGTGAGCCAAGGTCGATGTCTCTGCTGCCTTCAAAATTCACGTGTACGTAAATATTGGAAACAAAATTTTAAAGCCAGTCAAATAACAAAATTTTTATGCGACACAGCACTCGGCATGTGGGTGTTCGGTTATGGTTCGCTTATCTGGAAAGTGGATTTTCCTTATGAAAAAAAGTTAATAGGTTATGTGAAGGGATTCTCTAGACGTTTCTACCAGCATAGCACAGATCATAGGGGAACGCCTGAAAAGGTGAGCCAAAACAAAAAAGTTTAATACTGAAACCAACTTCAAACTTTTTCAGCCAGGGAGAGTGGTTACGCTGATTGACAGCAGCGCTGATGTAAGTGCGTAAATATCAAGAAGTTGTTCAAAAGTTTAAAATCATTTGTTTCTTTAAGGACGAGGTTTGGGGTGTAGCGTACAAAATCCGCGATGCAGATGTGGCCGATGTGGTTGATCACCTGGACTATCGTGAGAAGGGTGGTTACCAGCGCAAGTCTGTGGTCTTCCACCCCAAAGATCAAACGATCCAGCCCTTTGATATCACCATTTACGTAGGCACCAGCGATAATTTCCAGTACGCCGGAGAGGCAGACCTGGAATCTATTGCAAAGCAGATCCATTGCTGCGTTGGGCCCAGTGGTCCAAATACCGAGTACATCTTCAATCTGGCGATGGCAATGCGTGACATTGCGCCCGAAGTCGACGACGACCACCTCTTCACATTGGAAGCGATGGTCCAAAGGATTTCACATTCCACATAGTATTTTGTTAATAAATTATTACTTTTGTTCCGCTTAAATGGACCTAATCACATTAGCTCAAAATTCATGAATACTGTGCGATACAGAGCCAATTACGTTTGCTATAATGGCCAACTATGGATACCTCTGTGCGTGGCTATTCGAATCAATTACGCTGTAATACGCAATCCTGTACAATAACTAGATTATAAGAGATTAGCCACGGCCAATGGTACGGTTTTGATTCAACATTGAAAAGCCCCCTATAATTACATAAAATACAGTTACGCAAATCACTCGGTCAGGTGATAAACAGCAATTATTCGCATAATGCGAATACGTATTTCCAGCACTAACGAACGCCACACTCAAGTAGTTGCTCAATTTTCTTGTTGCGACGCAATAACTGCTCGGTACAGGATAAAGTCGTCCAGCTGGGTGAAAGGTATTTAATGCATCCACTTGGCGCACTTAAGTGGTAGTCCTTGCCTATGACAGATTAATCAAAGTCGCGGCGCGGCAAATGCCGTGATATATTTGTTTTCATTAATTGCCTTCGCGCTAATTACAACTGGCCGCGAAACAACATTTTCATTTTCTCGATGGAAACTTACATTTTTCTTTTACTACTTGTTCTCTACTTTATTCCTTTCCTCTAGTCCCTAACCGAAGGTTGACAAGTTTTGCAATATTTTATTAGATGGTAATAACGCATTTCTTTGTTTTCCATACAAAGCATTTTCCTTGGAACGTTCAAATACCCCGCTACTCGTATTGATCGTCAACAGTGTACGTGTGGTTGCATACCAAACAACACCAGGATTTATTTTTTTTACATTCTTGATCACTTCTTGGTATAACACAATTCAGTTGTGCAGCAGTCCATGTAAAAATAAATTAAAACTATTAATGTTCAAGCCAATATTAAAGACATCGTAGCTAATAATTACAACACTGTTTTGTAAATTTGATATAATAATAATTGAAAGCATTAAATAAAGCCGTCATTTTTAAAAACTAGTAAAATTATATTAAAGTCACAATTATGCAATAATTTGTTAAAATTAAAACAATATAAGTATACGTGGCATTAGATTTTAATTGTTTTCTTAGCAACTGATGATGTTGCATATTACCAGAATATTTTATTAAGTATAAAACTAATGGTGCTTTTGTAATACGAATATTGTAAGGATAATATTTTCAAGGAAAGTATATAGCTGAATGATCTTGAAAAGTTGACTAACTTGGAACTAATAGAAGGAAAGACCAGTAGGATATAGGTAGTGTGGTTGCACTACACCTTGTGTGTATTTATGAGCAAATCCGTAACTTTCTCCTTTAAAGCATTACAGAAACACACACAGAAGTGGTTTTCCTTTAAGTGTAACTTTTCTAACTTCCATCTAGATCGATTTGGACCGTAAATTGTTGGGAATAATTAAAGGCGGAAACGTCGAGAGCTTGGCTCTAAATTTTCCGGGTAACAAACGCGAGGCCATTAATTTATTTAATGCTACCGTCCAGTTTGAATTCGCCGGATTTAATACACACACTATCATCATAAAATCAGGTGGAAGCAGTAAAAGCGACTTGATATCGCCCGGTGCTCGTGCGGCTCCCGTATTCATACTTTAGTATAATTACCAAACCGTGAAATTATTGCACTTCGGCCAATTCCCATCCCCACGTTCGTGTTTCCTAAGCGCAATCAATTTTAATGCTTTGACTGAAACCGTCCGTCCTGGAGCCCAAGTTTCATGCGAAAATGAAAGAAACAAGAAGAATCTAAAGCTATCTCGATAATTAAATCTCGTTTATCTAAGAATAATAGTTTTTGTAATTGTTTTTCTTAAGGAGATTACTATTATTACTACTTATTCATCATCAGATTTATCAACTATTAATTATAAAAAAATTCTCAATCTTTAAATTTTACTGTCAAATTTGAAGAAATGCTTTTTTAAGCTTTGAAAACGCAGTATTTTTATTTCGAAAGGTATAAGCAATAAATTAATTATTAAGCAACTAAATTAAAGCTAAATTAAAATGTATATATTGTACCGTTTATCATTTAGCCGTACTTTACTGATAAACTTGAAGAAACGTTTTTTTTTTTTAAATATTGAAAAATCAGTGTCTTTACATAGTTCATTATTGAGCAACAACAACAACATTCAAGCCAAATATTCACTCTTTAAAATGTATATATTGGATTTATTGTATCATTTAAGAGTAATTCACTGTCAAACTTTGAAAAACTTTGTTTGAAGCTACGAAAAAGCAGTGTTTTTACATTTTTGTTTCTCTTTAGAAAAGTACGAAAGATAAATTCATTATTAAGAAACCAAAGCTAAATATTCACTGTTGTTGTATCGTTTTTACTGTCAAAACAGTATCTTTACATTTTTTGTTTATACTAATCTAGTACTATTACTACTACTTGTTGAATCAGTCTTTGAGAAATACGTTGATTAACTTTGGTTAATTTTACATATAAAGTAGTTATAAGGGTAATTTTATTATTTATAATTTTTTAATAATACATAACATGTTTTGAAGTTGTAGACACATTGAAATATATATGTAAAAAAAAACTGGATAGTATATTAGATCGGATCAGGGGGGTTCTGATTATAATGGCATAGCCTAGGAAATGTTGTGCAGGGCAGTCCAGACACAAACAGAACGTGCGTTTGCGTGCTAATTCATATTTGCAGCTAATCTCTGCTATGATCTAATCGTGCTGCGACGATCGCACGTGCCGCATTTTGTTATTATTTTATCATTAATGGCGTTATAATTAAATCATTTAGCATATGTTCGGATGCATTTGTTTTCCCTGAGAATGCGTACATTCGGCCATGCAATTACCTAGCAAATCGTGTGTTACAGAAATAAATTAAGATAGTGAATCGGACGACGGTAATAATAATAACGTGCTTGAATAATGGATGAGCTCTTTTGGATGTTTACGTTATCATCAGTAGAAAAACTACTCCTCCTTCTCTTGGCCTTGAGTCATATTATTTCCGTAAACCGATTTGCGCCAATTAATCTAATCGATTCGCATTCCTATGTGAGAGTAGTACATCTGCACGCCTCACACGCATCCTTTATTGGATTTGTACAAAGATAGAATTCACCCACAAATCATTTACATCGATATTCATTACAATTGTTTAATTCTTAACAATTCCAGACAACATTGACAACATTAATTACTTTATCTGAATTTGCATACAAATAAATATATTTTTAAATCATTATAATTAATAATATTTACTTAAGAAATTATCTTAATAACTTTAATTTATTGCATTTGCATAAATTCAAATTTTATTAAGATTTATTCTGAATAATTTTAATTACTTCATTAGATTTGCACAAATATTAATATAATTAAGTTATAGTATTAAAAACAGTAATAATTACAATAAATTTCATTAAATCAAAGATACATAATGATTTTAAAAAAATATATATATATGAATTGGAATTTGACATTGGGTATTTTTCAATGAACGAAAATCAGTTATTCCGTTTACTTGTTTCTTACTATTCATGAATTCATTTTTGCCATTGAAGTTGCCATAAATTTGCATTAATATTTACGTGAATTGATTACACAAATATTCAATGCCACATATGTCTACTTTCCTGCACAATGGAAAAAATATTTTTTAAAACTAACTATAATATACTAAAAGCAGGAAATTCTACAAAATCAGGTATTATTTTTTGACAAAGTTATTTATTGAATAAAATTTCTTTAAATGAATATTAACAACTTTATCATTAAAAAAAAACTACATTTCTACACATAGTTGGGTACAGCTTCCCATCTTGGACATAACAATTATTACATAATAATTACATACTTTTCAATGACATTTCTATTAAAACAAATAAACTGACTTAAAACTAGGGTTTATACAAAAAGCGACTTAAATAAAACGGTTTTTGATTCTCAACTTTTCTATAAAACCGGTTTTCGAATTCTCACAAAAAAAAATAATAAAGAAAAATGATTTTTACAACTTATTTTCTTTTTATTTAATATATAAAAATAAAATATATACTACGAATAACAATAAATGACTTATCAAAATGTTGCTTTCTTCAGTAATACCAAAAAATATAAATAAAGGAGAATTGTTACTAATCCCATTTTGAATTTGTATCTTTACAGTTTATAATTAATTTCAGATTTCAAATTTTCTAAATCACGTGACATAATTAAAATATGCCTTCACATGTTAATAAATTCACATCTTATCGTCCTAAAACATCAGATGAATAAAGTATTAGTCTTTCAACTTTAACGAACTCTACAATTTTGCAATGTTCTGCTCATTCACTGATAAAATTGAGAGTTAAAACATCACATTTTTTTTTAAGTATACTCATGACCTCTATACTATTCCATCTAATATGTAACTCAAGAATAAGACTTATTTTTTCGATTTTCTGTTTGTTTTATGAAATAATGAAAGTCATTATTATTGTTTGGAAATGTAAAATTATTTATTTTTATATTTTAAATTCGGTGTTTTAGCTGGGAAAAACGGTTTTCTATATTAATTTTTATTTCTATATTAACTGTCTACATGTCCGCGAAATATTTCTAAAATTCTTAACAAAACTACAAAACACAAGTGAGTCGCGTTCTACAGTATGGACAATACAAAGTTTATTAAATTAATGTTAATCTTTAGAAAATGTACATCGGAATAGAATAAAATGATATACATTAATCTAAAATGTATTTTGTTATATAATATCATAATGGTTTTGTAATAATTATGATTGTGTGGTTGTAAATAAATTATTTGAAAAAATTAAAGAGTATATGAGCAGTAATTGAAATCTCGTCTAATAATTAGATTGAGTATTTTGTTTAAATGGTGTCGAATTAGAATGAAAGCTTTCGGTGAATCAATCAATTTATCAGGTGCGTGTTTTAGCGGTTCACCAATATAAGAGCCTGAGGGCCCCGAGTCTGGGGGGTCGAACACAATGCACAAAGGTCCCCAGAGACTGTCACGTTCCACCAATA